CAGAACGACAGCAATTACGTTTTAACAACTTTCGAACAAAAAACAAAACTTTTTGAAATTTCGAGATTTGTTTTGACAGTTTAAAATTTAAAAATTGTTGAGAAACAGTAATTTTGCAACAATTATAGTACAGAAGGATAAAAATAGCAACAAAGAAGTACTGTAAAACTACGTGTTCATTTGAAAAAGTGCAAAAATTTGACTCGACCACGGCAGGATTCGAACCTACAATCTTCGGTTCCGTAGACCGACGCGTTATCCATTGCGCCACGCGGCCATGTTTCAAGCTTCTTTCTTTCAGAGTGCAATGCCATCTGTTTTCTTTATTGATGGCTTTTCAAGTTATCTGAAAGTAACATGTCTTTTCTCATTTATTAGACGGCAGATTTTTTTTATATTCTGATAAGGGGTTTTTATACAATTATTATAAAAAAGTGTTGATTTGTTGACAGTATTTTAAAAATATTCGATTGTTTTTGGAAAACTTTAAGGCTAAAAATTTTTATTATTTGTACTAATTAGACATAAACTTAAAATGCAGTTTGTTTAAAACTTTTACGTTGATTTGCATCAAGAAATTACGTATTTTACTTGTAAATTAGTTTTGAAGTCAATAAACCAAGGGTTTCAAAACGTGGCCGCGTGGCGCAATGGATAACGCGTCGGTCTACGGAACGGAAGATTTTAGGTTCAAATCCTGCCGTGGTCGAGTCAACTTTTTACGTTTTTTCCCATTATTTCTTAAAAAATTGCAAAATGCAATTTAAATTTTTAATAACCTGAGTCTTTAGCCGCCTTTTCAGCATTTTAAATACAACAATCTTTCTTTATTGATAAAATATTACAGTATTAAAAAATAGTACGCAACTAAGACCGTATACTATATATAAAGTTTATTATAAACATCAAAATATGATCTGTAACTAATATTTACAAAAAGTCAGAACGAATTTATTTAAAAATATTTATCTATTTACAGCCAACTTTTCTCCGTCAACAACCACATACTAATGAGTTTCTGTGCAATGCAAAGCATCTCTTCCAAAATAACATTTAAATAACAGCGACATAGTTAGAAGCACTTTTATTTACAAATCTTATCTTTTGCTTTTTCTGGCATAATGTGATTCCATCAGAAAACATGGCCGCTCTGAATTCAATTATTCGAATTCTGGCTTCTTTCACCACAATTTTGTTGATGTAATCTTTGATCGGCCTTAACAAGCGCTATTTTTCAAATATTTTGAACAGCAATCTAAATGTAATATTATATATTGGGTTAATGAAATTTTGAGAATAGTTGTAAAATAAATGTTAAGAGTCTACTGTAAAATATTGGGCTAAAAAAACTTTTGAACAAACATTTCAATTTAAAAAATTTTTAAATTTTTAAATGTTAAATTTTCAAGGTAAAGTAGTTTCCAAAAACTTTGTAAACTTACATTTACTAGTCTCTTTGAAATCGGCAAAGCAATAATGTTGTAGTAGGCAAAAAAAAAGCAAATATCTGATTGTAGAGAAATCATAAAATAAAGTATAGCACAGACTATGCTTAGAAAACCAGTCGTTATACCTGGAAAAGTCGTTTGACGACTATTTTAGATCAAACTTGAGTCAAGTTTGCTACGCCACACCAACTTTTCAGATATTTCGACGTGTTTTCAAGCTTTTACTGTAAATGTAAAACTTAAAATAATTTAATTTTTTGTCTTACAGTAATTACAATGTCTTCTGTATAGTCACTTTTTAACTATAAGACCTTGGGGCTGACAAGGACCTTAGTAAAGCCATGATAGTATGTAGGGTACGTTTGATACTGTAGTGATAATATTACTATGTTGAGTAGGTTTGATACTGTATTATACTAAAACTATAAAAAATAAGCTGATACTGTGGTAATACTATTACTATATATACCTTTATACCATAACAAACACTATATACTTAAACCTTTAAAATACTAACCACGTGCTGTACTATTCACAACGTTTGTATTATCAAAACCCCTCTACTCTAATGTTTTTTCTATAAATCAAACTAACAACCCATTACAAACATAATGAACCGATTCATTATAATAATAATCAACATAAATCTTCAGGCCGGATACAACCTCTTCCCTTGGCCGCTCCCGGAGGTTTCACAAATGACTGATGGGCCGTTTTATCTGTGCAGGTCTTTATATATTATAAATTGACACAACGGCACCTCCCTTCGTCTTCTTGGATTACAGCCCCGAAGAAGCGCCCCTTCGTCTCAACTGTCAACTAATTTCGACTGCTGACAACCCAGTTTCCAATTGACAAGTGCCATAATATAAGCACTTTGCAGATTCCTTCCTTTTTACAAAGCCTTCTGATCTTTAGGCCTATTTCTTTGTTGAGGACTAGTTTATCTGAACCTTTAATGAAGTTCGGCTGTTTTTAGTCAAAAAAAGCACATGAAATCACAAAATTTGAAATATATATTAGGTTGTTCGAATAATTTTGTGCCCCATCTCAAAGCAAGTTTTTGTGGTTGAGAAGCACAGAATTATTTAAAAAAATCAAATTTTTAAAATCTTTGAAGTACAGTCAAACCACTTTAGCATATGACACCCAAAGGACTCGTCTAAGCATGCCCTTATAACCAGTCTGGCACCCTACCAAGGCATTTCTTGATAGGGGTTCTATTACAAAAGGCGGTCAGAAAGCTGCCATTATAATGAGGTTACCATACTATCGAGAGTCGTACTAAACACGCTTCACTGCATTAAAATCAAGTAATTTCAATTTTTTAAAATTTAAGTTGAATTTCTCCTATTGTGTTGAGTTTGGCATTCTGTTGCAAGCAAATTTTGAGACTTTTTACAAAAATTTAACTCATAATATCTTCTAAGACCTAAAAAATAATTGAAAGTCTAGTAATCATCTTATCTTTTCCTTGCAACACAATGCCAAGAAAGTGGGAAACGTAAAGTTCAAAAGAAATTCAAAAAATTTTAAATTAGTTTGTGCTGTTTGGTCCATATTAATCTAAAAAATGAGAAACTATTTTTTAATTAGAGGTACGGTAGCGAAAAGGTTGTTCAACTTTCTAGTAGGACAAAAAAAATCCGAGGTATCCTTTCCTGCTTCTTGCTGTTTCTTTCTAGCTCCCGGATCTAAAGAAAAATTTTATTTTAAAAAATCAAGATTCAATTTGTAAGCATCTGTTACACCTTTCTTTCCCCCCCCCCTGCACTTTTCTCCTCTTCTCCCCCCCCCCCCTCTCTTCCGGCCATTAAGAAAACAATCCGAGATTGAAAAGCCTGTCGAATAACTTTGCGGTTTAATCCTCAAAAACTGACGTTTGAAATCGGAGAATACGAACATGTGTTGCTGTGTATAACACGTTTTAAACTCATGAACGTTTTAATAAAATTACTTTACATGAAACCCACATGTACGTACGTGTGAGGTAAAACGAGTTTTTTATTACATTTGGAATTACTTTAGCATAATACCGGGGTTTTTAAAGTACTCTAGTACAAAATTTAAAAATTTTAAAAATTTTAAAATTCAAACAAATTTTGAATTTTTAAAATTGTATTAAGTACTTATGACAAAATATTAAAATACTAAAAAGTATTGTCGTTTCTCAAAACTAAAGACAAGGTAAATCGACGACAAGAATTTTTTCTTAACTTCCTTACTACTACACTACACCAATCACCAAGATACCGCAGTAAAGGCCTAATTGGTCACCTCACCCTCCTCCACACTGTCAGTATCTGGAAGAGCTATGAAATGAATCTTCAGCACACAATACCGCCTAAAAACCGTGGCTGCCAGTTGATATATGTTGGGCGAAGAAGCGCGGCCTCGGCTCGAATTACCTGAAAACCGAGCCCGGTCCGAAGGTCTTTATCTTATTATATGACAAATTTCCGTCCTCCTTTGTCCCCAGATTCGCAATGTAAAAAGACAAAGGTCTATGCAAATATTCGCAAAGGTGACAACGAGTTAGAGGGAAGTGTTGTGGTAAGTTTATGTTACAACAGTGCAAATAGTTGAGTTAAGGTAAAGATAATTAAAGGTCTTTTTACTCTGTTTTGCCCTACCCTACCCTAACTTACCCTGCCCTACCCTACCCTACCCTACCCTACCCTACCCTACCCTACCCTACCCTACCCTACCCTACCCTACCCTACCCTACCCTACCCTACCCTACCCTACCCTACCCTACCCTACCCTACCCTACCCTACCCTACCCTACCCTACCCTACCCTACCCTACCCTACCCTACCCTACCCTACCCTACCCTACCCTACCCTACCCTACCCTACCCTACCTACCCTACCCTACCCTACCCTACCCTATCCTACCCTACCCTACCCTACCCTACCCTACTCTACCCTACCTTACCCTACCCTACCCTACCCTACCCTACCCTACCCTACCCTACCCTACCCTACCCTACCCTACCCTACCCTATCCTACCCTACTCTTACTTCTATCCTCCGCCTTAACCAGTTACTCTTAGGCTTTACGAACTAGCCAATTCCCAAGTCGGTCCATTAATTCCTAGCCCAAAAGCCAGTTCTATTAACCCTCACCTTGTGAAAATACGCTAAATTTTTCACCAAACTTCAGTTTTTAACTTAAAATTTAAATGCTTGAAATCAATGACAGTGTTATTATTGAGAAGGTTTATTTTTGGCAATATTTATACATAACAGGTATACTTGAGAGTTCATTTAAGACGGAAAAAATTAGTTATAACCCGCTTTTTCAATAGTTTTCAAATAAAAGTTAGCTACCATAATTGAAGATGTTAACAACAAGGTGATAAAACGTATGACAAATATAATAGTTCAGGATGTGAAATTTTGAACCATAAAGAATGCTATATAGCAAAGATCTGAAAGAATATTATATTTAGACTTCACAAAAATATTGTCTTGAATTGGCAATATTTTTCTGGTTCAAACCTGACAAAACTGCTGTAAAAACTTAAAGTAATAATTAAAAAAAATTAAATTAATTCCAAATGGCCAAATGACGTCGTGTAGCATAAGCTTCAACCAACTTTACCAAATTGGCGTTTAATTTCTGTTGTATTCGTTCTATGCCGACCTTGTTCTTGAATACTATCATGCAGATTACAGCATCACGACGTACTCCAGTCACTGTCGAGTTTTCGTATATCTAAAAATCAAGTTAATTCAAATTAATGATGTATAAAACATTAATTATAGCGTGGAAAAGATCAATCATAGAGTCCGTCAACCGTACTTTACAAAAAAAAATTTTTATTTGTTTTGTTTTCAAACTTATTTTTTGATCAGTATATGTAATGTAAAATACCATTAAAGTACAAAAAAAATTAGACAATATAAGATTAGACAGTCAAACCTACCTGTCTCAAAACCGGCACAATATCATCCACCAGCCCTTCCACCATAATCGTATCCGTCTTGTGTAGAACATACGGTAGTAACTGTAAAGTTGCCCTCACTTTGTTCGTAGGATCACTCGTTTTCGTAGCTCTAACCAAATTCAAAAGAATAGGTAACACAGCATTAACAGGACATGAATTGCTGATCTCTACGTACAAGTCCTCAATCTCTTTATGTAATGGCACTTCGTTCTCTTCCAAATTCACAATCTCATTTATCAGTGTATTGATCCTTGAGGTAATGCCTTTACCATTCTTTACTAGAGCTTTTAATAGGCGTACTGATGAGCATCTGACTATACCTTCTGCATCTGTGTCTGTTGCTATTTCTATTGATCTGTTGAATAATTGAGGTAGGTAGTAGTCGAGTTGAGAGATCTTATGATCGTTGACCATGCGGGTTAGCTGGTCTAAGGATTCACGGACAGTGCGGGTTGAAGATGGACTAAAAAGTAACAATTTAAATAATAAAAATTACCTTAAAAACAAAACATAATAAAAAGTAAAAAAAGATCAAAGCAAAAACCATCACAACACCAAAAAATTTGAAAAATACCCTTACCCTAATTCTAGTAAAAATTTTTTTAGTAGCAACTAACAATGAAAAAAAACCACTGTATAATACTCACCTTCCATCATGCCAAATTTGAGTATTATTCAATAGAGTTTGAACATCTTGAGATCCGTTTTGTTCTGCCATATGGCTATTGACTCGAGCTTGAGGTCGGTAAACTGGAGTATGAACTTTGGGAGTTACTATCGCTGAAGGTTGACGAAGATTTGATGGAGTTCGACGACCAATCTGTAAATTAAAGTTTTAACAACTTTTTCTATTTAAAAATTGATATCAGTTTGATATGTGTAAAATAAAAAGAAAATTGTACAATTAAAAAGTACCCTCCTTTATCCTACCATAACTTACTAGCTTACCCAACCCAACTTCACTAAAAATTTTTCACTCAGTAGAAAATAAGCTATATTATGCAAAATAACACAAAAAACATCTATAGAAATTTATATTAATGTCTACGTAAGATAGTAAAAGTAATTCACTAAAATGTTTTCAAGAAACACCAATTGTAAGTAACATTTTCCCACATTTTTTGCATAGGTTCAACTGACAAAAGTTTTGACGAGTTTTTCGTGCGCTATATGAATTTTTAAATAAATTGGCTCTTTATTGGTGATAAGGCAATTTATGCATTTTTAAAACATTTCTCTTACAATAATTAAAGCTTATGCTTGATTTTAATACATTGGAACCTCCTTAATATGACTCTCGATAGTATGACAATTTCTTTATAATGACAGCTTCTTAGCCGCCCTTTGTATTAAAACTCCTATCTAAAAGTGCCTAGATAGTGTGACACTCTTAATGACATGTTTAGAACAATGCCTTAAGAGTCATAGTGTCATAATAAAGAGGTAATCAGATACTTACATCATGACCATTCGTCGTCGGTGAAGGTGACCTCATGTTCCTGACTTGGTGAATTTTAGGTTCAGAAATCTGTCGAACAGGTGGTCTTCCCTTCAGATCTCCATTAGTCGGCTTTGGAGGCACTGCTGCAGGACCAGTGGCACCATTCATTCTTCTTTCATTTAGCACTCGAGATCTGATGGCTGAACTGCTAGTAGAAGGCTGAATCGAGGTTGGAGGCTGGCGGCGCTTTGGTGAGGCGTTTCTGCTTCCGGCTAAAACAACATATTGTGATAGCATTAAATTTATAAAGAAATGTCGTTAAAAAAACAAAAAATAAAAATTTTTTTTCATTTAAATATTTTTTTTTAATTTCAGTTAAAAATGGCCTTACGTTGACTTTTGGGAGGAAAGTTAGTAGCTGATGCCAATGATGGATTACTCGGCTTGCGTTGACTTAATGGTATTCTATTTGTAGGTGCTGAAAATGGCTTTCTGATCTGGTGTGAGGTCATATCTGATTTGGCACGCATAGGAATGTAAGTTGATTGAGCTGTCCTTCCTCTTGATGCAGGTATAGCACGTGAAGTACACATTGCTGAGAACTAAAATCGTATATTTTACAGTAAATAACAGTTCAAAACGCGTTGAAGTAGTCGAACTGTTAGCTAGATGACATAAATAGAGGGCCATACTACAATATAACAAATATATCTTAAAAAATCTCCTATAGGTGCCAAAAGAACTCAATATACGCCAAAAAAACCATGTCGTGTTACCTAAAAAACCAAAAGATCAATACCAAACCTTACCCCAGTGACCTTAGCTTCGGCCTTCTGAAGTCCATCCCTTGAGTACTTTCTGGCAGTAGCATCAGCATCAGTAGAACCCTTTTCCAAAGCTTGGTACAACAATTGAGCGTTCTTTTGTAACAACTCTTCTGGCCATTCTTCAACCACATTCAACAATAATAAGCATATTGTAGATCTTATCAACTTGCTCTTGTTGTTTTTAAGCTCTTCGAACAGCATTTGCAGCATGGCATGGTTTTTTATGTTCTGAAAACAAACAAAAATCAAAAATCAATAATTTTAGGCAATTTTGACACTTCGTTTCAAATTTTTTAATATGTCGCCGCTATACTTTTATAAAACACTTAACCGAGGCAAAAACTATAATTAGGTAACAAATCACAGCAAAACAAAATCAAAAACTCACCTTACAAATATACCTCAAGGCGGTAACTCCACTGGTAGCCATGATCTTAGTCGACTGTCCACTCATTTTCAGCAAATCTGGCACTAAGCTTTCAGCTTGGTTCTTAAAGTCCATTCCAATATGTTGAGCAACATACGCCACTGTAATGCAAGCATCTCTAGCAACTTGTGATCGTAGAGATATCACCGACTGTCGAATCTCATCTTGTATATTGTTCAGCTTCTGGGCGATCGTTTTTCCATCCAGGCCACCGTACTTTACTATCGATCTGAGTTCGATTAGCTAGAATTTATATGATTTACATAGGTTATATTATTATTTTTTACATTTATACTGTTGATATGCCGTATTTTACATTTTTATTGCCTAAAATTTTATTTTTTTTGCAAAAAATGTTCAATTTAAAATTTTTTTAAATTTCATTAGTTTGTGTTATAAAACGATATAACTCACAGCATTGCAAGTAACACTCCAGTTGTCAGCTTCATTTTGAAGCGCTTTGGCTATTGCTTGAAATCTTCGATCTACATCACGGTGAATCGGCTGAAAACCAAAATTTTTTAAAAAATAAGCAAAAATTTGAAAAAATAAGAACAAAATACGTATTTTACAAAAAAAAAACATACCATGCTTTGCGGAATTTTTGAAAAAGCATCTTCGAATTCGGCTTCTGATATAGCACCAGCGTCTCCCGTGCGCCCTCTGGCAGTCATTTTTAGCTGAAAATAAAGTTTAAAGTTTATAGATGTTGAAAAAATAAGAAGTATAAAAATAAGAACTACTACAATATAGTTAATGCTAGTAAATCACGTAGAATTGGCTCTCCTTATAGGAAACACAAAAAAAGGCTGTAGAAAAGACCTATAAACGACAATATAATGTGATTTTCTTCCAATTTTCGAGCATAAAATCAGAAATTTTGTAAAAAATCAAACATTTCTTGCAAATTTCAAAACAATAAGATGAACTTTCTGAAAAACAAAAAGTACTTTACTTTCCTTTTACAAACAAAATTCAAAACAAAGTATTTTCCCACTCGGAAGTATAAAATAAACCATGGAAAACGTAACCAAGCTCCTATTAATCCAAGATTTATAACAAGTTTTAATCACAGCGAAGCCGCCTCAACAAAGAATATGCATGAATCAAACCAAATGCATCATGTTCTCCTTTTTTGTTGACCTTTAAAGCGATATCTATATTTTAAGAGAACACGTTCGAAAAATAAAAAACATGGTTTGCAAAACATAATGTTATCAAAGGAAAAAGTATAGTTATAAGACATGTTGGGTAGCTAGTATTGGTTTAAAATATAGTATAGAAAAGCTGAAACAAAATACCCTACCCTACCCTACCCTACCCTACTTTACCCAACTCTATCCTACTCTGCCATGCCATATTGTACTCTGCGTTTTCCTATCGTGGTACCCTACTTAATTTTGCCCTATTGCACTCTTCCCTTCCTACTCTATCTTGCTCTATCGTACTCTACCCTACTCTATTCAGGCCTATCGTACTCTACCCTGTCTTATTGTACCCTACCCCACTCTATTTTGCACTACCCATATCATAGCCTGCCCTATCATACTCTGCCCTACTCAGTTCTACCTATTTTGCTCTACCCTGCCCTATTGCACACTACGCTTCATAGAGACCTTCAGCCAAACATTTTGAGCAACACCCAAAAAGCTTTAATAATTATTATATTTTACTAAAAAACCACTTTTATATCAAACATTATAAAAACAAAAAACCCTTTCAAAGAAAAAAGTTTAGGAAATTTATACCGCCGTAATGACTACTATTGAAAACAATGTTTTCCTGTTCAAAAGTAGCCTAACGACCTCCAAAACGAGCGAAACACACGATTGCACTTTGGATGAGAAATCTTTAATTTCGGGTTTCAAACATTCCTCTTTTATGCAAATTTTTGAGATGAATTATGGCGATAAGTGCGGTCAAAAGTTTGAAGGATAGCTGTGACATGTTATTCATAACAAAATTAAAATCTTTATGAATTTTAAAACCCTCAACTGTTTTAAAAAAATTATTGTTTTAGAAGAAAAAGTCTTATAAACCACAAAACAAAAGATAATTGTACCCTAGCATGTAAAAACGATAAACCCGAAAGTCGGCCGATCTTTTCAGGAATTCCATTCGAAACGAAAAAGCGAAAAGACAAAAAGAGAACGTGGCCAGAAGATTGGTTTCAGCCATATTTGGAGCCCCCAGGCCGGAACATATAAAGGAAAGAACTCTGTAAAAATTCGGTTTCGACGTCAATGTGAATTGTGAGAATAAACAAAAACGTGTAGAATTTGAGAGTTCCGCCCTCTGGGGATTAGAGTTTATTTGGAGCTTTAGGGTTAAAAATTATGGTTTTGAGCTATTATATTACATTTAAAAAAAAGACTAAAATCCTGTTTATTTTACCATACCCGTCCTTGTCCTGCCTTGCCTTACCTTTTGCCTTGCCTTGTTCTATTCTACTTTGCCGTGCCCTAACTTACCTTTCTGTTTATTCTCTTACTCTACCATGCCCTAACCTACATATGGTAAAAACACTTTAAATTATAAACCTTCTTAAAGTAATATAAGTTCAAAGTTAACCATGTGCCTATAAGTTCGATAAGCAGCAAAAACTGTAAAAAACAAATATGATTAAGCCTTTGGAAGTAAACGAAAACGCCATGAGAAAACACTTGTGTCCGAAGAGTGCAGATTCAGGTTTCACTCAATCAAATCACAACATAAATCAAACTAAATTACTTGCAAAAACGTTTAACCCTGCTTTTTTACTAAAGAACAGTCGTAATGTCACAAAAATTTAAATTCAATTTGAAAAAAAGACATTTCTCAGCAATTAGTTATATGTCTCAAAAGTAGTTTCGTTTTTGGCGGCACAATATAATGAAAATTCGCGACAAAACTTTTTGCTGTCCTAATACAGCGGCACTCCTGTATTACGAATGGCTCTGAGCTTTTTACTTTGTTCGTTATGAGAGTTTCTTTATAGAAGAGTTGGTTATACTACAAGAGTCACTATACTTTAGTAAAAAACTCTTAAAATTTCTACCATTAAAGTTGCTTAAAATCTTTGTTTACTAAACAAATTTACTAACGCTAGTAAAATCGTACTTTCTTAACAGTAAACTACAGCAGCTGTAGACAGAGTGAGTAAAAAAGTAAAAAAAATTTTTTTTTTGTTTTATGAGGTCTTTTTTCATTAAAATCCCTAAAGAACGTTTTTGGAAAAGAAGATGCCTTAGGCGTTCTAAATACTTTTTACTGAATCTTAATTAAAATTTCAATTTTAGACTGATAATAGTTTTTTATGTCTGGGGTGCCAAAATTACCTGAAAAACTCTAAAAATTCTTAAATTTAATTGCAAGGAATGGTACAGTAGTGTAAGAGTAAAGCTTATAAAGAATGTTTTTGCAAATTGACTGTTGCATGATTCACTAAGAAAGCGAATCATGCTACTTAAATAGAAGTTTACAAGGCTAGCCAATTTGGGTTAATTAAATGTTGAAAAGATAGGTAATTGAATAGTTGGCGCCAGTTAAAATCCGCAACAAAAATTTAAAAAAATTTTGTAATTGATCAATTCAAGTTCAAATTTCTTCAAGTATCTCTCAAATGGTTTATACTGAAGCCAATATGATCAAAATGGATCAGTTGTAAGAAAGTAAAAATTAATCCTTCTCTTCAACAAAAAATTTCTTAATTATATGTCAGGTCTTATCGTATATCATAATCTTAAAAGTATACCAAAATTCTAAATTTCAATATAAACATCTTTGAAAATAAAAAAAATGTTTTTAAAAGCCACCAGACATTCACAAACAAAATGCAACAAAAAACACACATTTTGCAAACACAACTCGCCATTTCAATGAAATTCAAGAACCTGCTAACGAGTTAAAAGTAAAAGTTTGTACAAAGTTTTAAAAAAGAATTCATTTTTAAAAGCGAATCAAAGAACAAAAATAACGCGCTCTTTTACTTTGGCATTTCGTTTCAATTGCGCGGGTTCCTTTTTTCAGGATTATTCAAATACTTTTGTCTTTGAAAATTTGTTTTTTATTTTGAAATGTATTCAAATATCTTTTGAACTTTTATTCTAAAATTGAATCTTTTTTATACAGAAAGAAGTACAGTGGAACTCCTGTATAACGAAAATTCCGTATAACAAACAACTTTTGAATCTCCGTCTAGCACTACACAGTGCATTTAAAACTCCTGTATAACGAAACCCTTTTATAACGAACAAATTTCAAGTCTCCGAGCGATTTGTTATACAGGAGTTCCACTGTATTTGGCTAATTTAAGGTTTATAACAGCTCAAGAAAGATATGAAAAATAAAATATTAATAGACAATTGCGTGTACGGAAACGGTTGGCAGATGTTAAACAAGCAATAACTGGCCCAATTTAAAAGGCTTATTTAAAACAACATTTCTTTTTAAATTACTTTAATATTCAAAGTTGATACATTTGTATTTCTAATATAACATGTTTTACAGATGTTAAAAAAACATGTTTAAAATGTGTGTTTTGCTTGGCATGGTAACAACACAATCCGTATATTATAAAACCATTTTTTACAAATTTTTAATTATATCGTAAGAAAAAACGTTTTTTCAAATACGTTTATTGTATGATAGTTTTATAAAAACATCTATTTTGAAGATACGAAGTGATATTGCAATGATTAAACTGCAATAATCATGTCATTTCAGTAAATAAATAATATGTATATTAGTCCATCAGTTGAGTAGCAATTTTAAGTTTCATTTTCATCATTTTGGACAGATTTTTAATTTCAAAAGTGACTTTTCCATCATCCAAAACCATAACAATACCTTCTTCAGCCAGCACAGGGGTGATCATTTTAAAGCGGGGGTGGAGAAAGTGGCTTTGGTCTGAAATGTTAGAATTTTTAAATTTTTTTTGAAATTTTTTAACATTTTAGTAAAAGCAGTTATTAGTACTTGATATACTTGATATTGCAGTACCAGGAGTGACTAGTAATGAATATTGTAGCAGAAGTATTGATTAGTACTGGACGGGTGGTTTTAGACATCGTAGAAGCAGGGAAAGTGGCAGGGCATGGTAATATGTTTTCTTAGTTTTTTCTTATTTTTAAAAAGCTGTGTTGTTTAAAATGATGTATCTCATTAAAACTGTCATACTCACCAGTAAAAACGCAAAATTCAAAGTCTCGATTGGTCGAAAACTCATAAAACAACTTTTGTCCCTTCTTAACATCAAATGTCTTAACATAACTTTCAGAGCTGTTAACCATCAAATTGTCGTATTTTATGCCAGTAATGTGATTTTCTTGCCAAATTAAACCATCAATCAGGTAGTCGTCTTTAGTGACCTCTTTTGGTTTATAACATCCATTTTTGTAATCAGCTTCAGGGAATGTTCTGCTACCTTTATATTCGATGGGAATAGCACTGATGTGTAAGATTTTGGTCAGTTCAGTTGAGTTTTGGGCAAAAGTAAACCTATCCATTACTTTTTCGGGTAGAATTAGGGACATTATCTAAAAATTGTTTATTGATTATTATTTTGAGTACCTTTGGCTTTAATATTTGGGTAACCAATTAGCATAAACATTACACTTATGATATGTAACAGTAAAAGATGAATAATATATTACTTCACTGATATATAAAAATAAACAATCTTATCATACCTTAAATACGGCGCCCAGAAACCGTGGTGGGTTGGTGATAATAACGTGCTTAAGAAGTTCACCATAGTACTCAAGCCAAATATTTACACGGTACTGAAATAAGAAGTCATTACTGCAAGCTACAAGCCTCTACCACAATATGTTACTTACAAACAGGGCCTAGTATATATAGTACTACATCAAGTATAAATCATACTATACATAGTACTATGTTGAATATGAGTAATATTATGCCTAATACTAAATTAAGTATAACTCATACTGAACGTTGTACTAATTTAAGCATAATTCATACTGTATGTACATATTATGACGATAAGTACTTACCTGAAACATCTTATTGATAGGACTGACAGGATTGGCATAGCTCAACATGCTCATGAGTTTCATATCAAAAATACAAATTCCATGAGACTTCTTGCCGGTTTTCTTTCATGTTCCAGTACCATCTTTTGGAAGTACTCACAGTAGCCGAAGAACACCCTCAAGTAGTCGCCTACTCTCATGGCTTTGACTGCCTGAAGAAAAACTACGTATGAAGTGAAGATAACGTAAGAAAATGTTATATAAAAGGTAGTGTAAGACAACTTTTGACATTTTTTTGGCAATATTATTATAAAAATAAGCGTAAAACTTCAAAAAATACTAAATACATACAAAATATATAGTACTAAAAATTAAAAAAAAGTTTTTACCTTTGAAGGCTCAGGAATTCCAGTTTCCGAAAAGACGATGCCATTGTCATGTTCGTTAACCCAAGTTGAGTCAAGTTTCGATAGACTGAACAACGAGTGGTACTCTTTCACGTCTGGTCGTTCATAAAAGTTGTCCAAGCTTTTTTCATCATGAAATCCAAGAGCTTTTCGATTACCCAAGTACTCTTTGAACTTTTCAACTGATTGTGGAACGTTCTGAAATAGTAAAAGAATGATAGGTAAGGTTAAAATTAAGAGTATGATAAAAAATGAAGCTTTAGATGAAAAAAGTCATTACAGTCAAACTCCTTAAAGAACTGGATCAAAGTTTCATTATAACCATTTATAAAATAAAGTAAAAAAAGATTTTGCTTGGTTAAGCCAGAGGCTATGGCAGTATAAAAACTAATGACAAAAAAAAGCTACGGCACTTATAATTAAAAAAAATAAATAAATTTAAAAAATTTAGTGTTCCTTAATAGCAAGACCTTTTTTTATGCCAAAAATATAGTAATGATACCTTATCATAATTTAAAATCCACCGATCAACATTAAAATCAGTATTAAGCTCTTCTGGGATCACATCACCAACTTTTTCTCGAAATTGAGCACGTTGTTCTACCAAGTCTGCTGACATAGTAAAACAAGTCTGAAAACAATAAAATCAATTTTTCATTTAAATTTTTGAAAAAAAATGATTTTTTAATCTTGCAGTCTTTAGTAAGCATCAAAACTTAAAAATACTGTTTTTTTAGCAATCTTAATAGTAAATTTTACAAAATCACGGCTTTTATCTTCACGGTAAATTAAAAAATACAGAAAAATTCACCCTCACTCTTTCACAGTAAGTTAAAAACACAAAAACAAGATAATTGCGTATAACCTTGAAAAATACGATGAAATTAAAAAAACATCGTGCATATCTTCGTATTTAAACCGCAAGCTAGCCGGTCGCCACAAACTACGCTACAATGCGAATCTCAACAAGTAGCGCAAAAACAACAAAAATCTGCGAAGCTTCTGAAGAGAAGTCACGACTTCGGTAGAAGAACGGTGTGGCTACGCTTCAGAGGTTTTACTTGTGTTTTGATCGAAGGATTTTGACTTTAAAAATGATTTTTTGTACTTGAAACAAAAGAAATTATTCTAAAATTTTTTAAAAAATTTATTTTTCTGTATTATCAAATAGGTATCACACAAAAACGTAGTAAAACTTCTGTACAACGACAATTTATATAACAAAAACTTAAAAAATAAAAAACTCTTCAAGCCCTATCTACCACTACACATTGCACTTAAAACTCTTTTAAACCAAACTCCTGTAACCAACAGATTTAAAATCTCTATTAAATTTGTTATACAAGAGTTTTGATTCAATGTACAATAACAAGAAAGTGATATCACACGAAAGCGAATGTCATTATGTGTTGAAAACAAGTCAGTAGGAGTAAGTGTTTGCAGCGCCCATTAAGCCTCCGAATTCTGACCCAAAAACGAAAAAATCGGCTTTCGGTGGGGGGATCTGCCCGCAGGGGTGGAAGCGCAGAAGACTGATTTATCTTCTCTCGACTTCACCTTTCCTTCAACATAAAAACGAGGTAAGAGTTGTCGAGATCGGCGCGATAACCATAGGTACTTTCTTATCTCAGATCGTCGAACAGCGGCCTAAAAAGATATGAAACAGTCATGTTTGGATTGGCAGTGAATCTTGATTTATTTTTTTTTTTTTTTTTGAAATTTGAACTTTGAGACGAAGCTTACTTATTATATGCCTGGAAAGCTTACTAAACTTAAGCTCATTAAGCTCTTCGGAAGCCTCAGAGCTTAAATAAAGCGCCCAAGCCTAAAAAATCCCTTAACTATATGAGCGTAAACCTAAGAGTACAAACTTAAACTTGAGATTACGCTCAAGAGTCTAAACCTACGAGCCTTAATCTAAAAGCTCAAGCCTTCTAAACCTAAGCTTATTCTTGTCATACTCTTTTAAAAAACTCATTTTATTAAAAAAATTTTAAAAAAATAAAAAATTTTAAATTGTACTATTAATATATTGCCCTTTAAGAAAGCCTAGTAATTATTTAAATATTCTCACATCAAGCCAAAGTAAACAAATTTCAAAATGTTTTTAAAACTAAAACAAAATTTTGAAAAAAGACTAAAAATTCAGCAAAATACTTCCAAAAGCTATATTTACATTAACAAAGCTCACCAATCTATTGTGTGTTAGCTAATTATAGTAAAAGGAAATGTCTATTTTTGACATCTTTCTATTTTAAAATTTTTTCATACGTTTCTTATGTTTTCAGTTTTACAGTACCTTCTCTTTTTTGAAACGTAAAACAAGAAACACAGTTGACAAATGAGTTTCTGTATGACTCATTTTTAGCACAGAAACGTTTCAGTCAGTCGCTGACAAATGGTAATTAGTTTTTTATTGAAATAGATATATACGGTGACGAAACGTTTAGTTTTGAAACTTTTTTAACACTGAGTTTATGCTTTGTTACAACAGCATCGTATTGACATTACAACCAGTATGAGTGTTATTTTCGTATTTTAACAAAAACTTTAAACTTTATAATGTTGTTCTACGTTTAGCTAATGTTATGTGTCGTCAGCAGGAACATGCTTAAATGCGATTTATTTTAATACTATTAAAAAGTGGGATAATTGATGTAGAGTATGTTAATAGTGTTACAATTTTGTATCTCAATATTATTAAAAGCTGCTTCGTTAATGATATTGATTTAGTACCAATAATCTTATAATGTGTTATGATTGATGTTAGAACTATAGAATTATGTTGATGATACATGTTTTTTGAAACCTGGTTTGACTATCCGAACTCCTTCGTACTGTATCAAACTAACTGACTTATAATTAAAATACAGTAGAGCTTTTGTGTTAATTTAGAAACAGTTTTCAATTTTTCAGTGCTTGTATTAGGTTGAACCAAAAGTAGCGGGACACTTTTTAGTGGAAAACCGAGTAACCCGCTGCTTTTGGTTCAACCTAATAATTTATTAGCCGTAGCAAAAAACAAATTTTTAAGAAATTTTTTATTATCATATTATTTACAGAATTGCCTCTTACCCACTGCACAAAGCTATATTGGGATATTGTTCTTAATACAGTAGAATTTGAGCTTCTACAGTTGTGTAACAGAACTTTTGGCGCATATTGTATATAAAAAATCCCTAAAGGATTTACAATTTGTTTGTTATACTAGGTGTTCTTTATAAAAGCATTTGTTATACAAAAGTTCTACTCTATTTTTCTGTTTTAATTCATAACTTTAAAAAATATTTCGAAGTTGTGTTAACACTGGTTATTTACATTTATTGTTTATTTATAAACCTAATAACGTCAAGGTATACAAACCGGAAAATTAAGTATCTTGACCGCCTGCAAAATAGCCTAGCTAATTCTTAGTATCACACACTTGTTTTAGAATTAAGAAACTTTAAAAGATCAGATTAGACAAAGTTACTGTACTTTTGATTGATAACAGTACAGGAAGCAACGTTGTAGAGTATTTTAGTTATTTTGTGGTTCCAGTGGTATCTTGTACCATTTGATTGATAGTGTTAAAAGGCCAAGCAATTAGGGTCAAGAAGTGGACAATTTTGCAGTTTATAGGTTAAGATATTGTTGGTTTTGCTATACAGACGCTTTTTTTAAGCATGTGTAGGGTTAGCTAGAGGGAGTTAAAATTTATTTTTTACATGTAGTTTTTTTTATAGAGGAGTTTGTTGTACAGAAGTTTAAAAGTAAGTTATCTCTTCTCCTTTCTGAACCAAAATTTAATGTTTGCTAGTAATGGCTATATTATTATTATGAAATGTACCTATCAAAAATGCTACTATAACCTTTAAAAACAGATTTGCAAAAGTTCCAGCCCAAGGCGTACTGTAGGAACATGTAGAAGCCCAAAGAACAGTTTAATTCTTCTTTTTTTCCACGTAGCAGGTTCTGCTGACGTTGCACGGAAATTACTATAATTAACACGCAAATGTAGTTTTTACCTTGCAATTGTTAGAATACAGGTTTTTGTTCTTTAATTTGAATATGACACTAATACTTAAAAGGTCGTGCAACAATGTTTCTAAAAAAAGAACAAAAGTAAATAAACAATAATTTACTAAGTTAAAAATAGTTACGATAAACTCATAATAACAGTCTTTTAATCTTTTTTTACTCTGCTCTATATTAGGTTTTTCAATTAATGCTGTGCCCCTTTTCAAAGCAAATTTTTGAAGTTAAAGAGGACAGGATTTTTTGAACAATAATAATAATTAAAGGCTTCTACCCAGCATTGAGCTAACTGCGCAGAAAAAAAAATAATAATTTTTTGTAAATTTTTCAATTATTTTAACAATTTTTGCCTACATTTTACACATTCTTTTACCTTTGTAATTACAATCATAAAAAGAGGGCATTTATTGACCATGCCACTTTAATCAAATTAACCGGTCCGGACCAAAAGAAAATAGAGTCGGACCGGACCGGACCGAAAATTTTCCGGACCGGACCGGACCAAAAAAAAGTTCCGGAACGGTCCAGAAAAATTTTTTTTTATTTTAATAAAACTGTTTTAAAAATTGCAAATAAAACATATTTTTAAGTTTTTAAACGTAAAGAAAGCAGTTTTAGCGCTCCTGGCTTTTTTTAAAAATAAAAAAAAATTTTCCGGACCGGACCGGACGTTACCTTTTTGGTTCGGACCGGACCGGACCTGAGCGAAAAAAAATAGAGAAATTTATCGGACCGGACCGAAAAAATTCTCATCCGGACCGGTCCGGCAAAACACTGATTTCGTGTAATATAACAGTGTTACAACTAATGGCAACGATCTGCCAAAGAGTAATTTTGGACCAGATTTAATTAAACCCTTTGATTAATAAGGAAATCAAACTTTTTACAGTTTTTTGGGTTTAAATTATTTTTTTCAAGTTTATGGTTATTTTTATACAGTGAACAACATGTATAGTTAAAAAACGTTTTATTATACAGTTGTTGCGAAGAACTATGTAGCATTAGCTAAGGATTCAAAAGTTTTGTTATTATACAGTACTCTCTCTATATAAGCAACCTGAAGTGACCGACATTTTTGTTTACTATAAGGGGTGTTGTCTTTACGGAAAGACTTTTTAGTGCAAATTGACTTGGCAAAGCCAAATTTCTTGTTCATTATAAGGAGAGTTTCTTATCCCGATGGTTCACTATATACTATATAGAAACCACTGTACAGGGTTTTCGTTATAGGGAGCTTTTTATGCCGATAGATTCTACTGCTTTTGTCGTTATCAGAGACTTTTGTTTACACATTGTTATCAATTCTTACATGTAAAAAGTTTTTCTAGACTACATTATATTTATAAGCCAAAACTTACCGTTTTGAATTAAAGTTTACAAAATGAAGAACATCCGTCTTTATATGCCTCTTATTGTTACTTTAATTACGCTGTAAACTACAATAAAATAGTCTCAATTCAATTCAGTTTAAAATACAAATATTTTTATTTAAATTGAGTTTTATTTTGTGTACAAAATACCAAAATTCTTCACAAAAAATATACATTGGCCATACTTCCATCGTACCAAGTTTGGTATTTCAGCCATCACTCAAAGATGAAT